AAATAAAAATATTTTAAAAAATACACTTATTTGTTTTTAAACATGTCCTTATTAGTCATTTAATGTTGAACAACAGCCACTAATTATTGTATAACCAAATAATTATATTTATCGAATCTGTTACTTACCATCCACTACTTACTTCCGCTATCCACTAACAACCGCCCGCTACCTACTACCGTTATTCACTATCTACTACCCGCTATTCGTTATCCGCTGAATTTTAATCGCTGTATCAAACAAGCCCTTCATTGATATAACGTTGGTTAGGGAGAAGTAATCATTTCATACCCGAAGCAAGCTTACGTGGCCCAATAAAAAAGCATGTGTTGACCGGAGAGTGCAGGAGGCGAGTGCCCCTAGCACTGCTCTTGGTAAGCAATATCCAGTTGACTTGTACGTTATCTGATATTTTTTTTTTTAGAGGTAAGGGTGCATTGGTTAATTTTATTTGGGTGGTGCTAATAAGTATAATTTTTTATATTATTTTTTAATATAATTTTTATATATTATTAAATGAATGAATATATTTAATATCATAAAATTCATATAAATAAAAAAAATTAATCATATAAATGATACATCAAATTGTATTGATACAAAATCTCATATGCAATAATTACAATTCTATCCTAGACATTCTTGGGCTGTACACTCAGGACAAATCAAATAGAAATATTTTTCCAATTTACTTTTATTTTTGTACGGACTAACCTAAGGTACTATGTAATTCTATTAATAACAGTATGTTTAGAACTACTTTCTCTAACAGTGATTCTGCTATTATTTTTCATCTCGATGAAATAAATCGTAGTAGAAAATGTGTATTGATCAATTTATTTGTACTTTTAGATTAATTTATTTTTAATTTCATTAAAAATAAATTATTCATATTAAAATTAAAAAATTTATGAATAATTACTTCTTTATTAATAAACTTTCTTATTAACTAAATTATATTTTTTTGGGTTGTACATTATTTAATTTTTCTAATAAATGATATTTTACAAGACAATATAATTTAAATTGAAAGCAGTTTTTCATATCTAGTTTAAGTCTAAAAATAATTAACTCTTTATTCTTTCTTAATGTTTGTTATAACTCCCATGGTATCTTACTTCACTACTACTTTGCTATATGATTCAAACACAACCCAACTCATAATCAAAGGATTGGGCATGTTAAACCGCAGTCAGCAAGGCACAAACACAGGAGATAAAGCAAATTTAGTTTTCTTCTCATATTGACGCTGAATGTAAATGGTCCTTTATTTATTTATTTATCTATCTATTTTGATACATCCATCAAAAGAAGGCGTTACCTTCCCTTTGTAATAAAATGAGCCACAGAAGTATAGAGGATTTGATTTCTTAATGCACTTGCTTAACTGCCTATGCTCTGTATATGGGGCAAAATCGAAGAATGTGACATGATGTTACAAATTAATCATGACAATTCACACAGCCACCGATGCAAATCCATCGCTTCCATTTGCATCATTAATCTTCGTGGTTCCACAAGCCAATGAAAAGTCTAAATTGTAGAGCGCCGGTAGCATGATGGCAAAGCAGAGGAACACCATCAGTGGTCCAAAAATCCAGAGGAGGAGAGGCAAAGCTGTGTAGAAAAGCCGGTTTCCCACGGTGTTGAGGAGGAATCCCTTCTCTAGGAGCTCCGTTACGTAAGCCGGGTTGGCGATGGAGATGGGATTAGGGGGAAGGTTGATGTGGAAGCTGGCTTGGTTAATGAACCGGATGGAAAGGGAGTGGCAGAAGAAGGAAAAGAGGAAAAAACAGAGCATAGTCACGTACTTGAGTGACACCGTGAATTCACCGTGGGCGCCAAACACGGAGTCATTCAGTGGCTTCTTGATGGCGTATGTGCTGCTGAGGACGGCGGCTAGGCCGGTTCCGAGGACAATGGAAGTGGTGGCCATGAGTGTCGATCCCATGATTGCGTTCCGTAATGTTTGGACAACCAAGATGTTCTTTCTGTCATTGTCCTGTAATGAAGAGCACACCCACTAAATTACTTTCGAAAAAACTAAGGTTACTTCTCAGTATTTAAGCTCAAATTTATTAAAATGATTCAAGAGGGAGAGTAGCTAGATAGAGAGACACCTTCATCATAGCCGAGACCCAGGAGCGTCGTGCGGTGGCATTTGTTCCGATGACGGTGGAATGGGGCTTGGTTCGAACCTCATGGCACAACCAACAGTGGTAAGCCATGGACATGAGAATCCCCAGAGGCACCAGAATGATGTCCAGATAGCATTCCCCCAACTTCATTTTTGTCTTCTTTGTTGAGTAGTGTTTGCCTGTTTGGCTGGGATTTTTGTGAGTCAGATGGGCTTATATAGGTTAATAGATGTCAACATCATAGACAATTTATTAATCACAATATGTAGTTAATTTTTAAGGCAACTTCAAATTTACGAGGTTAATATATAATCACAATAACCAGAGGAAGAGCCTCCAAATTTAAGATGGTGGATTTGAGCTCTTTTTATATACATACAACATGAGATAGACCTTTTTTTTGTTTTTTGTTTTCAAATTTCTTTCCTTTCCTCTTATTTTAGGGTTCAAACTTGATTTTTATTATACAAACTCAAATTCTTAAATCACTGAGGTATCTCTTATATAAAAATTGTTGAATTTGTTATACTATTTGTACTTTATGTAAAAAAAATAATTTACACAATTAATTTTTGATAGAATAATGTATAGTAATATTTTTTTATTTATTTTATAAGTAATATCTAGATTGAGTCTAGAAACAATTAATACTTTATTATGTTAAACCATATTTATCATATGTCCCAAAAAATCAAAACACAAAGTTTATACATTGATTTGAAATTGAATGTTTATTGCATAATGGGCAAACAATATTCAAGGTAAAAGACAAAAGAGACGACTGAATTGAGTATTTGAGGCAAACAAAAGGGAGTGAAAATCTGACAAAGCGCAGATGGAAGAAATTGCAAACCATAATAAGAAAAAGGACAGGAAAAATGGCCACTGAAAAGCAAGCGCAAAAGCAATTGAATTTGCGCCTATTACCATCCAATCTCATGGCAGAAGAGTGACATGCACATCTACGGAAATTCTGTTTTGGTATTTTTTTTTTCTTTCCTTATCAGGTTAGGGATCATTTAACACTGTTTGGGTCGAATTGATTTCTGTTTCAATCCAGAATTGGTTGAGAAATTCGAAGTCTCATATTAGAATCATAGGATGGATGATGAAGAATATATACAAGATAGGAAAGATTTATCTCCGACCTATTGTATTTTGGACTTTGGAATCTACTCCAGCAGTTAGGAGGCACCACCCCTGGTGCTGCAATAATTCAAGCTATGCAGTGGGTATTATTATTATTCACATCTTTTGAATCTGATTCATTACACTCCATTTCAACATATATGCTTGATGCTCCAATA